ATAATGGATTCATCAGTGCTCCCTATCACAAGCTCCAGACATTATGCCACAGAGATGAGCAATCCCTACTCTATGCTTTATAAATTCCTAACTTAGAATGCATAAATAAAATGGTGGTGGTATGATACCCTGATACTAAGTATGTGGTGGTTTGTTACACAGCAGATTTCCAGAACAATAATGGGGAAAGACAGGTAAAAATAGTATTTATCTTTAGAAAGAAAGTTAAGCATTTTTTTTTTTGTTTGTTTGTGTTTGTTTTGTTTGTTTTGGTCTACTGAAGAAACTGTATATTATGGATGAACATTTTGCCAGACTTGTCATGAAAGCTGGTATCCATCTGAATTAACTCACTAAACTCTAGACTCTCATTAAGTGCCAAGAAATGTCATTCTGATAAGCTACCCTATATATCATACTCAAAATTCTAGGTTATTGATACAGTTCCTTGTTGATCACCCAAAATTGACTGGCAGTTTTAGACCAGCTATATGGCCAACCTAGACATGAAATTATAGGAAAATATATATGATCTGGAGATCAGTGTCAGAGTGGCATATTATTTTGTGATGCTGCCAGTTTTCTTCTTTAATGTTTCCCTCTGCTTTTAAAACTGAGAATTGGATATAATTAGAAATATCAACCAGAGATTAGTATTTCAGGGTCAGCTACCTATTTAAAATCTGAAGGGCATTAGACTACCCCCCGCAGCCCCCTGCCCGCCAGCCATAAAACTTATTTTTCTACAGATTGGAAAAGGAATGCCTGAGGTCTCAGGCTGGAACTACAGGCTCCTGACTCCTAATACAGTGCTCTTTCCTATCAATAAATGATTCTTAGATCAAAGTATTTCTGGCATGTTGAGCCAATCCCTGTACAAAAATGGTACATACCATTTTGTTTATGTGCATGCTTATGTACCCATTTCTGGAGAAAATCTGCACATTCCAATTGATTCTTAAGGGTTTTCTGGGTCACAGATCTCTTTTAAGTGCCACTGTATTTGATGGCTTAATACTATCGTTTGAAATCTATCAGAATAAGTTAAATCTTGTTCTTCCTGTGTGAGAGAACACCAGGTGCTCCTAGGGAAATCCATGAGTTAAGATTGGTGCACAATGGGTGATTCTCTGAGGTAGTTAGGGATAGTTAGTAAGATAAGTTGGCTGCTATATGCTCTCTCTATTTAGAAAAATTTGGCAAGCGATCATATGCTACAATCTCTTTCTCTTTCTCTAAATCTCTTCTATGATTCAAAAGCAATGAACAATACAGAACTGATAGGGTTTTAAAGCAATGATATGGGATTTTCACAGAAAGAGGCTGGAAGCTCAGAGACTTATTAGAAGTTTAATTTTCACTCATACCCCCATCTGGTGTAAGTGTCAAACAGCCTTTTCAAATAGTGTTTCAGGAACCCAGGCTCTATTTATCTTAGGGCTTTGCTGTCTTCTTGGATCTTGGAGTCCTTTACCTCGAGACAGCAGACAGGAAAAGAGGGAGGGTGGAGGACTAATTGGGAAGTTTCTATGGAAGGCAAGTTTTTCATTTCTCTCCACATTCCTCTGGCCAGGAATAAAACCCATCTAGATACAAAGGTGTGCTGATGGTAGTGATGGGCTTCCTGGCAAGAACTCTACTCTTTGAAAGAGAAGCATCAATCTTTTTTGGGCAGTTGATCCTCTGTCATAGGCAGAGCATTTTCCCCTCTTCATTGTTGTTTAATTATGTTTAGTGCTTAGAGGTGGACAAAAGTCTTAGATTGGACTTTTACTCATTCCATGTAGTGTGGATACTAGGTTATAATCCTCTTTACCTGACAATTTAGGAATTTGAAGTCAGGATTGAAAAATAGGATAGTTAAGAAAATTAGAATTATTCTTTTCTCTCTCTCTCTCTCTCTCTCTCTCTCTTTTTTTTTTAAAGAAGTGACACAGAGGACAAGGGCCCTGTTTGGATTTTGAGCTGGTTTATATTACAATAGAATTTGTATAATTTTAGAAAAGAGAACTCTGTTTCCATTTTTGCTAAACCATTGCCATAAGTTTGGCTTTTTTATTGCACAATCTTCCTTAACAATATTTTTGTTTTTGGCAGAAATTATAATAGCACATGCCTTTACCCTATGTTTTTTATTTTCACTCTGTTGCCTAGTTGGTTCTTGATTATTTTTACTTGTTTTGTGCAAGCTTAACCTCTCTCCTCAAATTATCTCATAATTTTTATTCTGGAACAGTATTCATGGTATAAATTTATCATGGATTTTATTTCTCAGTCTTTCTTTTTGAGTATAATTTTGATGCCACTTGATATTAGACCTCATGACCTGTGAAAGTTATTTCTCTTCTACCACTTACTATAGAAAAACTCTGAGTGATTTATTTTCTATGCTCTCTTCTATGAGATGGTATTGGTTCAGAGAACTCCAACAATGTTGCAGGTAATGTTGAGGGCTGAGCAGCTTTTTATGAAGTTCATTGAAGTCCTCCTAGGATTTACACCCTAGTGTACTAAAACTGGGTTGTTCTGATTCATGAAAGCTGATTGAAACTTGTTCTACCAACTAATGTTACAAATTAAATTTAGAAACTCATAATTAAATTGCATGAAAACTCAAAACTCATTAATTTTTAATTACATTACTGTTATCTAGGATATTGAGGTTATTACATATGTTGTGTCTGCAGAAAACACTACACAATGGTGTGTTATTATGCCCATTATCAATCAGTTTTCCATTGCTATAACAATATGCCTGACACTAGGTACTTGTTTATTTAGCTCATAGTTCTGGAGGTTAAAAGTACAAACAGCCTGGTGTTGGCTCTGAGGAGAGCCCCTATGGCTATAGGACATCATGGTAGGTGTGCATAGGAGCAGGAACGATCACATGGTGAGACAGGAAGACAGAGTGAGTAGGGAGGGGCCAGTTTTGCTCTTTTATAAAAACCCTCTTATGAAAACTAACCAGAGTCCCATGAAAAACACCTTAATCCCTTCTGAGGACAGTATCTCCAATGACCTAATAAGTTCCCACTAGGCTGCATTTCTTAAGGGCTCTGCCCCTTCCCACATAACCATACTTAAAAAATTAAACTTTGGGGGACACAAGTAAACCATATCCAAATCATTGCACTTCCCAACTCTGTATTCAGTTATGCTACTCAGGTGACTTGAAGTTGGCCATGGTGGGTACTGTTTTTTAAATGGGTACCAGAAACCCACTGGACTCACCATATAGAACATCTTCTTCATTTGGTAGTGCTAAGACTTGCAAGAGAGAAGTAGTGCAAGGGACACTGTAGATGCTTAAAAAAGGACAACTGCCTAGAAGACCACTCCTTCAGGAAAACCTCTGCCATCTTCAGGAAACCTAAACATGCTTATATCCCCACCTCATTGCAGCCCAGGGCCTCCCAAACACACAGGATCTCTTTCTCTATTCAAAAAAAAAAAAAAAAAAATAGGTTCAACAGTACTGACCCCATCCCTTCCAGGAATATGTTAGGGGGAAAAACGTCCTAACTGATGTGAGAGCATTTTTATGTAATTAGGAAGCACAGTTTTCAAATTGGAGGTTTTCCGTAAGATTGCTGGTTTGTACTACTAATGGCTTTGAGGAGAAAATATCTTTTCAGACTGAATGATTTCCCTAGTGCTGATCCCTGGACAAGTGCATCTTGGTCCATGGTCAAGATTTCTAAGGCCACTGGCATAAAAGACAGCACAATAAGATGTGGTCAAAAGGTTATTTGGACTCTCTTTTCATGTGGGATTTGGTTGTTACAGTAATTTTTACATTCATATGCCCTATCTTTATGAAATGGTGGTGACAGTAAATGGTAGTAGTAGAGGCAGTTAACTTTAAATACCCTTACTTTGAAAAAGCTAGAAATTATATTAGTCCTCTTTCCCACCTCCCCATTTTTTTTAACATTTCAATAGTTATAAACCAGTAGTTCTAAAAGCATAGAACTACTCCATATTGACTCTAAATTGATTTTTTTGGAAGCAGAAACAAGTCTTAATGGAATTCCTCCATGTCATTTTTTTGTTCCTGTCATTCCCAGCAGCCTGGGCAGGCAAGAGCCCTTTTTTTATTCCTGTCATTCCCCACTCTCATAAGTGATTAAGACAACCAAAGCATGGCCTGAACAAGCCTTATCTTTATCTCTCCCTTCTGCCAAGACAACTTTTCAAAATCTTGACAAAACTGTTCTTTTGAGGAGAGCATGCAAAACTGAGCCTTCAAGCTTAAAATCGCAAATATGTTGTTTGCTCTTTCCCCCCCAAAACATTCATTATTCCAGGAGTTCTTGGGTTCACATGTGGCTTTAACCATTGTGTCTCTCTTCTAACATTGTTGATATTAATGCCAGTTTTAATTTCTTGGCATCATGACACATAAGCATCACCCACAGTTGCGTTTTTGTTTTTTTTTTTGTTTTTGTTTTTGAGCAAGGATGGAAACTGTAAATTTGGAAGCAAGAGATTCACAGGGTTTCATCAGATCACTCTGAAAAGTGTCACAGTTGCACTGAAATGGTTTTCAATTGCTCATTTCAAACCTAGCTCATTAGCAAAATGCCATGCTTGCAGTGGATTTGCAGCCACGTTAGTCATTTTCTTTCCTCTGTTTCCTTGCCGTGTTTGTGTTGGGAGCGCAGAGTAATGTAATTTAGTAAATTATGATTTGATGGCTGGGCATCAGCCCCAGTGTTGAACAGTATTTGGACTATGATTACTTGCTGGCTTTGTCACAGTTGACATTAATTATTGATGGAAGTTTTAGAAATAGCGCATGTGCCAGGAGCGTTTCACCAGAACGCAGGCTGCCGGCAGGAGGGATGCTGAAGAGTGTGGGGGAAGAGGCACCTGTGGCTTGTTTATGTCTGTGAACAGGGAACCTGGACCCAGTGGGCTATGTGGTAACTGTGTAAAGGATATGGTGTAACGGAAGGATGAACCGTCAGGCTTATTTCTATCGTGTTCCTCCCCAGGAATTACACCGAAGAAGCCAACTTCAGCCGGAGCCAGCCAAGACGAAGGCTCTCCAGACTGTCATTGAAATGAAGGTAGGAGCTGAGCACATTTGTTCAAAAACAGCTGTGCCTTGTGAATTTTTTCTAACTTGATGGTACCTAACAAACATGTGAAATGAGCCTTGTGTTTTTCACTAGGCACCCTGGTGTGTGTTTTGCTTCTGCATCTTTTTGCCTTTCTGAGTGCATTTAATTTATTAGTCTTTTAATTAGGATGCCTTTCCTAGGCAAAAGAATAAAGGTATCAAGTATCCCTTGGCTGAAAGGAGCTGGGTTCATTTCCAAAGTATGGCAAATGCCTTTAGCCTTAAGGGAGGTTTTTGGTTTTGGGTTTTTTTTTTTTTTAATGTGCTTTAAAAGTAAATTTCTAAAGCTAGAATAATCCCCCACCCCTGTTGATATTACAATGAAAAGATACCTTTGAGAAACTAGAATTTGACAAAAGAGAAGCTATTTTAAATGTATCATAATAGAAAATAATCAGAATTATACTATCAGCAAAATTTACTTTTCAAAGAAAAATACTTTCTTATGACTCCAGTATTTTCTCCTTAAAAAAGTCTGGAGGTAACAATAATTTATTAAATACAAAGTATTCTATTTGGCAATGGAGGCAAAGACATAAACTAAAGGAATTAAAAATTTTTTTTCTGAGTGAATTTAGGGCATGTATAAAACAATGAAGTAAATGAAGGCCAAGCTATAATCTGTGATTAAGAAGCAAATCTAAATAGAACACAGTTGCTTGTCCAGTATCTATTGGAAGTTTTTTTACATCCATTTTTTGCCAGAAGGAAGCAAACATTTTAAAATATTTGTCTTAAGTATAACTAATTCTTGATTTAAATTGTTCTACTAAGAAAAATGCTTTTGTAATGGAGCTGTTTGCAGCCTGCAAATTCCATACTTGTGTTTAATACTCAGAGTTTCCTGGACACTATTGGCCTACAAGAACATTCTGAAACTTGCTGATAGGATAATGAGTTTTCTGTCTTTCTTGCAACACATGATTTTGAGTTGTCTGCCCCAAATTTCCCAAGTCCTAGGGAAAAAGAAACAAACATGAACTATTAAATTCTTAGTATGTACAGTTCTGACTTGGGATTTTTTTTTCATAGTCTTTATAGTGTTTTGTCTTTATCCAGGTGAAGTGTGTGTGTGTGTGTGTGTGTGTGTGTGTGTGTAAATAGTATAGAACATTGGCTTTAAACTGTGTGTCTCTCAAGTAAGGTTACATGAGTCAAAGCACTCATAATGTATTTTCAGCAAATTGGCTTGAAAAGAATCATTAAAGATAACAAATACTAATAAGATTAAAAATAACTATTGATGTAGCTTACAAATTGTTTTAAATTTATATGATTTTGTAACTTATTTTGAAAAGATACTTATTCTACATTTGGGGGACGGTGGTTTGTTTATAATTGAGATTTCATCCTTATTTCACATTGCAACCAAGCTTGAAATTTGGTTAAGGCTTAAAAAAATTGAAAAAGGAGGAAAGACATAAAGAAAGATAAAATAAAAGAAAGAAAAAGAAGAAAAAGCAAAAAAAGACAGAAGGACAAAAAACTTGACTTATTTTGCAAAGGGTAGCTCAGTCCTACTTGTCATCTACCTCCACATTCACCTCCCCGGTCCCCAACACAAACAGCATTAGAGAATTGGAGGTATATACAATATATTTCCAAATTATTATTTTTTTAAAAAAGTAAAAGTAAGTTAAAAAAATCTTTGGAGAAATCAGGAAGAGGCATCTCCCCTAATGTGGTGGGTATTTTCTTATTCAATATCTCTATCCGAAAACAACTATATTTGTTGGATTATAGTTTACTATTTCTAGCATCATGTCTTATTGGAAAATAAACAAAAAATAATAAATATGAACACTCATTTAAACCATCTACATGGGAAGGAATGAAAAATGAAAACATGATTATTAGGGTAAATTCATATATACACGTTATCAGTAAATTGAGTCTAGAATTTTTCTTTTTACTGTATTCTAATGATGCTGATTTATAGACATAGGAACATGTTTTTAAGACAAAGATCGATATATATACATATATATCACTATATATATGTATACATATATATGCAGATTTATACATGTATATATATATATAGATCTTCATTTGACTTAAGATCATGTTTCTGTGTCTACATATATACATATATATGTATATAAACATACATAAAATGCAAAAAATTGAATTGTTTTTGTATATATGTATGTGTATACATACATATATATTTACACACACACACACATATACATAAATACACACACAACTCAATTTTTGCACAAATATATATATTTATGCATATGTCAGGAAACTGAGCTTGAGTTTTTCTGTTGTCTTTTTTGGTGCTTATTAATTTACAAATTGAATACCTTATGTTTTATCAGTGGAGAAATCTGGGTCCCATTAGCATCTATATTCAACACACCTAAATTGAATTATGGAGGCAGCTGGTGGAGGGTCATCTTCTTGGCCATGTGTGTAGCTTGTGACAGGCTGTGATCTCATCCGATTTCATGCATTAGAAATTGGAGGAAATGTTCGAAACCAATATTGTGGGCCTCAGAGTTGAGTACCAAACTGGCCTTTAAACCTGGAAGATAAAACTTGGGACCCTCTTGTATCTTAACTTTAGGTAAACTTGAGTGTCATCTTGTGCCTTGACATTAGTGTCATCTAGTGTGGTGGCAAAATCTAAAATTAAAAAGAGTTTTCTTAGAGTAAATAAAGCTCCTTGGTTTCAGGGAGATAAGAGATAAGATATTTCTACTTGTCTCTTACTACTTAGAGAGAAACTAAGAGTGAATTTCTGAACCTCCATCATCCCCACCTACACACTTTGCACCAACTCAAGCAAGGTATTTGTTATGAAAGTCTACAAAATCTTGCCTAAATCCATGCACTATTTAAAACCACAGCCTTGTAGCTCTAGTAGATCTCTGTGTACCCCTCTGGACTTGGATTGTTGAGAGAGAGTATGTCTCCATGGAGTGAATGCTTGAGAGGCCACCTTCCTGCATCAAAGCAGAGGTAGTTCTCTTGCAGATGTCAGTGACATCTGCTGCCAGCCAGTTGAGCCAGGGGGCTAAAATCACCTGAATGAAAATGAAAGGAAGCAAAGTGAGTAAAGTTATTTGTAATCTGTCTTCCTGCAGGAATCTCCAAGTTTTAATTTTGATCCTGATTTGATCTGGCAGTTATGTTCCAAATTTGCGCTTAGAACACTGTGTGTTTCTTGAAAAAATTTAATTTCTTGTAGATGTTGTGATGCTCCACCTTTTCTTGATATTCTGTCTAAAGATTCTGTACCAAGTTCCCCTTTTCTGCTCTTAGGGACAACTGTCAGTAAGAAAGGCAGTTAAAAGGCTTTTGTCATGTTTCTTAAATGCTAATTACTCTGAAAGAATGTGTTTCTAACCTGTTTTTGCTACAAATTTGACATGACATGAACATGATGTCCAAAAGTTTCACTTTCTTGGGTTCATTTGTAAAATTTTACCCATTTATTAAAAAAAGAACATGAATTACAGTAATGGCAGTATTTGTCAGATAACCTCAAAGCTTTTTTTCTTTGTTAGATTTTCAGTCTCTTAGAAGTTCTAACTAATTCAAAGTGGCCAAATCCAAAAGGAAATTTATTGGCTCTCACTTACCTGGAAAAAGTCAGTTATTGCTTCAGGCATAGCCTGATTCAGGCTCAAAAGGTAGTAGTAGCTCCTGTTTTCTTTCATCCCATTTCTGATCTTAGCTTTCAGCTTCTCCCTGCCTATCTGAGAAAGATGGCTATAGCAGCTCCAAAAACCACAGAAGGAAGAGAAGGGAGAATGTTACGTTTTTTTAAAAAAGCAAAAATTCAACCCATTCTAGAACAAGGGTTCTTGTTAAGTTAAAGCATAAATCTTCACTCCCAACTTAACAGTCCAGATTGAAAAGAGAATGCATGGTGGTCCTTCGTTCTCATTTGTTTAATCCATTAAAATGATGCTTATTCATCAAGGAAAACAACTTTCCAGTAGCATAATAGAAATTATCAAAGTTTCAGCAGAATTTATCAAATGGAACATATATGAGTGGCATAAAGATTTTGGTGAAAGTTGCAGAAAATATATTTGATCTGGTGAACTTGTTAACTAAAGTGGATTAAGAAGCCAGGGCCTCTGACATCCTAGGTGTCATGGAAGACCTGGGGTGATATTGTTCCCATGTTCCCTCCCAGAGAAACAAATGGAATTAGTGATCAAAATCCCTAGAGGGACACTGATACAAGACAGTTGGGAAGTGCAAAGTTAAAAGTTACTGTGTCCCATTAAGAAAAAATGAGGGCTAGGGACATAGCTCGGTTGGTAGAGTGCTTGCCTTGCGTGCACAAGGCCCTGGGATTGATCCCCAGCACTCCCCCGCCCCCCCAATAAAAAAGAAAAGAAAAAAAATGAGGGGATTGGAGAGAGGGAGTGATCCTGGTGGGGGTCACTGGAGGGACTGCCTTGTAATTCATTAATATCTACCTCTCTTTAGGGTGTTTTCCTGTAATGTATTTTCTTTTACAGTAAAGGTTTAAAAGCAATGGGTATCAAGCAAATATTTAATAAAAACATACGACATTAAATAGAAGACCAATAAATGTAACAACAACAACAACAACAACAACAACAAAAGAAGCCAAGCCTAAAGCCACTAAGAAACAATATTTCTGTTGGTAACTAAAGTAAGGATTGAGGGTATTTAGCTTTTTAGTCATGTGACTAGTTTAGGCATTAGTATTCCCTGAATGACATTTGTCCCCATCAACCTTTTCTTTTCTTTTCTTTTCTTTTCCTGGAACTGGGTAATAAGCAAATAAGCAGCACAAGATTGACCTTGACTAAGCTGCTGAAGTATAACTGTGCTATTTGTGAAAGAATGTGACTTTGCATTCAGGTGGGGAAGTTGACTTTTGTGATAAAAACTAAGGACTGCACCTTGTTTTTGTGCTCACACAGATGACAGCTCTTTTCTGTGGGGCTGATC